TTTAAACAAACATCGATATTAAAATAAATATATAATAATAAATCCGTCACGACTGTAATGATCAGATACGCACTCTTAGTCATCAATACACTTGAGGCGACTGTAAGGCAACCTAAACTGGAAAGATAAAATGCCAATGAAAAATATGTGCCTATGAACATATGGGAATATCACACAGAACTAGTCAGAAACTAACAAACTCGTCTCGCTCTCCTATACAATCACACAGGGAGAAGTAAACAACTATTTTTTTATTTTTATAAATGACTTCTTAATTCTGGCATCAATTTAATCTAATGAAGAAGCACCCATAAAACAAAGTTTGTAAATATCCAGTGATCGACCAGATCTTAACCATAACCAGAACTCACACCAGTTCTAAATATTTATTTCTATTTTAAACATTTCTTCTTCGGTTACTTGTACTCTGTTCTCTTTCTTTGATTTTATTTCTTTATCTTGGCCTATCTGCAGAAAATAACGTATCAAAGTTAAGTATAAATTGACATAATTGATGGAATTAAAGATCGTCAATGATGGGAATGTCCATTCCCAAGCGATCGAATATTAAGTACTAGCAGAGAACCGCAAATAATTTGCGGTCAAAGTAGTATATTTATTGCAACAGTACTTTACATACAGGATTTCTATAATAAAATGAAACAATTCTAATCGAAGACACCTAAATCTTTAAGACCTATTGTCTTACGCCTAACATTAGTTAAGAATTTATCAAGTACGGTAAAAAGTTCGACAAAGAGATAGATTAACACTACGACTTGTGTACGTTTTTTACTTTAGTTAGGGCTAAACTTTCCTGTACCTAATACTATCAGTAAAAAAAGTTTATAATGTTATTCTACGACCTAACGTTTGACATTTTTAAAAACTTTGATAAACATTTAACATGTTGTTGTATAAAGTGTCTACTAAGTAAAATATATATATATTCGCCTTTTATTTACATCCGTTGAAATGAATTGCGCGCGCATCTATATTGAGATAAAAAGGAGCGCGCACATTTTTAGGATAGACAAAACTGGCTATTATTATAATAAATATTAACCAATCATTGCACAGTTCTGGATTTTTCTAACAATTTTCAATCTAAGAGAAGGTAAATAGAGAATAAAGGAACAAAAAATGACTAAGTGACAAATTACAGTTTTTTGCGATAATACATTTGGCTACAGTTGTAATTAATTAAACAATAGTGCTTCATTCTTCATTTCCCTGGACTTATAATACTCAAAATTGGGTTTCGATACTCGTTGTGGGCACGTCACAAATAGCCCATTGTATAGCTTTATGCGTAGCAACGCTCAAACAAACAAATTTCAAGGTATCTCCAACTGCTTTAAAGTTAAACTTCACTAAAATGTGAAAATATGAGTGTGACGACTACTATCAAAACGCTATAATAGTAGATGTCACACGCAGGTTTTCACTTTTTTTTAGTGAAGTTTAAGGCTGGTGGGGTTGCCTTGAAACTTTTTTTTATTTGCTGTTAAGAGCAAAGCTACACAACGGGCTATCTGTATTCTGCCCACCGTGAGTATCTAAAACCGATTTTTAGCCAGCACTACAGACTGAAGGAGGGGTATTTTTCTGCTTATACTCCTAGAAATCGGGTTTCGATATCTGTGATGGGTAGAGTAACAGGTTTGCTTAATAACAAACAAACAACAACATTTTTCCAAAAACAAAAAAGAGGACCTTTTCTTTCTATACAAAGAATTTAAGTGAACTACATGAAAGTCAAGTATTTATATTTAAAAAATCATAAGCTAGTGAATTTTTTAGAATACTGAGGTGGTCTTCAATAT